GGGGGGAGCCGACACTGACCACCCAGCGCTGGCTGAGAGCCGGGCGCTCCCTGGGCACCAGTCCAGCGCTGCTGCGGTGCCGCCGCTCCCCCCACGTTCTAAGCCCTGTCCCGGGGGGGCGCCTGGGTTACGACAACGTGCGTCCCCGGGAGATGAAGGACACTCACGGGCCCATGCACTGGCCGAGGTTGCTCCTGGCTGCACTAGGAGCGGGCTCCACACGGCGGGTGCAAGGCTGTGTGAATACCCCCCCCACAGGCTCCCTATGTGTACAGGCCCCGGGTGGGCCCTGTGTGTGTGCGTGGCCCCGGGAGGTCTGACGGGGAGGGGGAAGAGCTTGGATTGGGGGGTGCTGCGGTGGGAGGGGCTGGGCAGCTTGAAATCTGCTCTCTCACCCACAGATGTTAGTGCTGTAAAAGATCTCACCGCTCCCACCGTGTGTGCGTGTGTGTGTGTGTGTGTGTGTGGTCTCAGGTGTGCATGTCTCTGTTGCGTCTAAGCTGGGGTGTGGGTGTGTGGTATGTATGTGCAGCAATGGGTGCAGGTGCTGTGGGTGTGGGTGTGCACCTCGCAGTGGGCATACGTGATCTGATCCATATACTCAGGGGTAGGTGTGTGTGTGCTGTGTATGCACTCAGTGGCAGAGGTGTGCGTACTCAGTGGTGGGATGTGCGTGCTGTGTGCGTGCGCGCGGTGGCAGGTGTGTGTGTGTGCCGTGTGTGTGCGCGCTCAGTGGAGGGTGTGTGTGCTGTGTGTGTACTATGTGTGCATTGTGTGTGCACTAAGCAGTGGTGTGTGTGTGCTGTGTGTGTGTTCGTGCTGTGAGTGTGCTGTGTGTGCGCTGTGTGTGTGTGTGCTCAGCAGAGGGGTGTGCACACTGTATATGTGCATGTGTGCTGTGCGTGCATGCGCACTATGTGTGTGCTGTGCGTGTGTGCTCAGCGGCAGGGTGCGCGCGCTGTGTGTATGTGCCATGTGTGTGTGCTCAATGGCAGGATGTACGCACTGTGTGTGTGCTGTGTGTGCATGTGCACTTTGCGTGTGTGCTCAGTGGCAGGGTGTGTGCGCTGTGTATGTGTTCTGTGTGTGTGCACTGTGCGTGTGTGCTCAGTGGCGGGGTGTGCGTGCTGTGTGTGTTCTGTGCGTGTGTGCTCAGTGGCGGGGTGTGCGTGCTGTGTGCGCGCTGTGCGTGTGTGCTCAGTGGCAGGGTGTGTGCGCTGTGTATGTGTTCTGTGTGTGTGCACTGTGCGTGTGTGCTCAGTGGCGGGGTGTGCGTGCTGTGTGCGCGCTGTGCGTGTGTGCTCAGTGGCAGGGTGTGTGCGCTGTGTATGTGTTCTGTGTGTGTGCACTGTGCGTGTGTGCTCAGTGGCGGGGTGTGCGTGCTGTGTGCGCGCTGTGCGTGTGTGCTCAGTGGCAGGGTGTGTTCTCCGGTGTCTCCTGGGTGCGGGGTTTGTGCTGAGGCCGGGGGGTTGCCGTTTGCAGTGGGAGGGGTGCGTGCCGCCTGGCCGTGCTGTTTCTCGGCTGGGGATGTTGCTGAGTCCCTGCGCCTGGCTTAAGCACCTTGCGAATACATTGGGCGCACCTCATTGAACCCTTTAACAACCTGGAGCCCGGCTCCCTCTTTCCCGTTCCACAGCCCGTTTCTCTCCTAGGAAGCAGAGAACACGCAGCCCCTCCCCCCAGGGCGCCCCAGCGCCCGACCGTCAGCCCCGCTGGGGAACAGGGCTGGGGGCTGTTAATGTGCTTGGCGTTCGATGGTTTCCCAGCACTCAGCAACTCCCAGCCCCCTACCCCTGGCATGGAGAGAGCTAGTGAATGGGCCATTAAGCAGAAGGAGGGGAGCGAAGCAGCAGCTGCATGCACAAAGAACCGCACCGCACCACAGGCGGACGGGCCGGGGACAGCCCTGGAGATGCGGCTGCAAAGAGGCAGGGCCAGGAGCGGGCCCCTCAGTTCCAGGGAAATGCATCTGCCCCTGAGCCTCTCGCCCCCGGCGTGGGCCTGCGGCTCCTCGTGCGCACACGGGCTCCCCCTTTGCCCTGCAGAGCACTCGGCTCTCGTGGGGCTGGTGCGTGCTCGTGCGCCCTGGTGGAGCGGGGCCGGTGCTGCAGCACGGGAGGTTGCCAGGTCTTCGAGGCCAAGCACCCCGTGCCCTATAACACCCGACTGTAACGGGCTGCTGCAGCCGGGCCTAGCCCTGGGCCGTGCACCCCCCTCCACCTCATAGACTCATAGACTCATAGACTTTAAGGTCAGAAGGGACCATTATGATCATCTAGTCTGACCCCCTGCACAGTGCAGGCCACAGAATCTCGCCCACCCCTCTTAGAATAATCCTCTCACCTATGTCTCAGATATTGAAGCCTTCAAATAATTTGAAGGCCCGAAGATGCAGAGAATCCTCCAGCTGTGATCTGTGCCCCATGCTACAGAGGAAGGCGAAAAACCTCCAGGGCCTCTGCCAATCTACCCTGGAGGAAAATTCCTTCCTGACCCCAAATATGGCGATCAGCTAAACCCTGAGCATGTGGGCAAGACTCACCAGCCAGACACCCAGAAAGTTCCCTATAGCAACTCCTATCATCCCTCCATTGACCTATTTCCAACTGATAATGAATGGTCAATTAGTTACCAAGATCATGTTATTTCATCCAACCATCCCCTTATCATAGAATCAGAACTGGAAGAGACCTCAGAAGGTCGTCAAGTCCAGCCCTCCGCTCTAGGCAGAACCAATGCTTTCCTCTGCAGTGCTCCATTTTGCCAGGGCCCCCCCAGCCCATTTCTGGAGGAAAAGTCAGAATCCGCAGCTGAAACGATCCCAGTTAGTTATTCTCAACCGCTTGCCGGGAGGGGGAAGCGCCGTTCTCTGTCGATTGGTCGTAAGATCTGTAGGGACAATACTGACCGCTTCCTACCCAAACCCATCGGCCCTGCAGTGACTTAGGGTGGTGACAGTCAGAGAGACGGGGCCAGTTAAGGCCAGCGCCTGAGAGAGGTCATGGGGATCTCTTCGGCATCAAACACTGAGCTGGGAAAGGACGGGGCTGTGTTCTAGGGCACGGATCGAGACCAGGGGGCTGCCCCAGAGGCCCTGGACACAGTCTGGAAGCTCACGGCAGGGAAGGTTGTGGGGTGCGTTCGTCAACGCTGCTGCCCGCTTTGAGATCCGTGGGCGGAACAGCGGGAAAGCGCAGGGTGTTCACCAGCCCTTTCCGAAGGAGGCGTTTGTAGCTGCCAGCCGCCGCAGAAGCCCACTCATGCCGCACATCAGCCAAAGCCCGAGAGCGGCTCTTATGGAATCTCAGGTCGCGTCCTGCCAGAGCTAGCCCTGCCCCTTGCCTGATCCCAACTCCGCCGGCGCCCAAAGAATGCAGGGTAATAACAGGCCAGTGCTTGCAATCTTGCCTGTCGCATTCTAGCGTGTGGTGCGCACGTCGGTGTGTGCGCCGCACATTCCAGGCGCCTGTGTGCGTGTGGGGGGAGTACACACTAACCACTGCCCCGCGTACAGCCAGCGACAGCCACCAAAGAACGGCCCAAAGGTGCTGACATTAACTGGGTCTGAAGCTAAACTACAGTGCTGGCCGCCACTAGATCTCGCTGGTTCCCCGTCTAGGGACTGGGAATTCTCCCTGCTGCCCATGGCCCGGGCCCATCTTGTCTGTAAGTTCTCCGGGGCTGGGACCGGGGCTGGGTCTCTCACCAGTGACATGTACACTCCGTGTCTAGCACAATGAATTTCCACGCCGTTGCATTGCTGTCATATGAACGGGGTAATAGTGGCTCCTTCAGTCACTACATGTAACGTGGCTTGTTGCAAATTCATATAATCCAGGCAGCACAGCCAAGGCCTTGAGAAAATAATATTTGAAATGTTGGTCAGTTTGACTCTAAGTCATGTGAAAAATATAAATGATTTACCCATCGATGTGAAAGCATCACATAAGAACTGATTGAAACGTTCTTGTTAAAACAGCTCTGTAGGTATTTCTCTGGGATACAATCATACATTAGCATTCAGAGGTGTATCGGTCTGTGGAATTCAAAATAATCTGGTCCAAAATCTATAGTGTTTAGGTGCAGAGGAAAGGTGTAAAACATATCCTGTGGAGAGAAGAGAATTTACCATAGCAAATGTGTCGATAAAGATACACTGGGTCATAATGATGTTGGGATTAAATGGATCTCATAGAAATATACAAAATCAGTTTGATGAAAAGTTTTGAAAATGTAAAGTTGGGTTCAAAGGGTAGGACCTTGAACAACTTTCTGTTTATTCTTTAAATGGTGATTCTTTATTCAATACTTTATTTTCAATGTTTTAATTTAAACCATTTTAAGGAAATTTTTTCTTGACTGAAAACTTTTTTTTTCTGTAAACCAAAATTTTCAGTGCATAAGAGTGTGAAAGTGTACAGAAAAAGACATGGAATTTTTCATAAAAATGAAATGTTTTGACAATTTGTCATGAAAAAATTCATTTTCAAAGAAAGGCCATTTTTAGTGGACAAATGGCGTTTGAAATTATTTCTAGAATTAAGCAGACAATAATGAAAAAACAGAAGAGGCATACGTGTATCTGATGTTGTGAAAGAAATTGTGTATTGTATTGTATTGGATGTATAAAATGTGACCATGCAGCTAAAGAGGTGATGTATAAATCCAAAGGGGGCAGAGTTGAGGTTAACTTAACTTTAAGGTTAATTTTAACTTTAGCATTTCCTGAGTTTTGGATGGCTGAATGTTTGTGCAATAGACTCCATTGTGGCTGATACATCAAACACTGAACTGAGGAACCTCTAGAGCTAAAAGCAGGAGCTACTGCAGCCTTAGCTAAAGAGCCACGATTAGGGATTATTACAACTCCTTTGAAAAGAAAGAAGAACAAAGACAAACTCAAGGGAAGGAGCTGAGGGGTTGTGATGTCTGGTTGGAAGAAATGCCGATATGGACTAGCTATTGGGCTTTTAGGTGCAGCCTGGGACCCAGGAAGGTACTAAGCACGTGCACAACTTGAACGTACATGAGAGGTCCTGAGAACTGCGACTCGCAGCGGAGGGGGGCGGGCCAGCAGACATTCTGCGTGCTTTCTGCGGTTTCTCGGAGATGGGGATAGCCATGCCGCTCTCTGCCACGTGTGCGTGGGCATGAGTCTAGCCTCTCCGGCAGGTGCATTCGTTGTCCAATTGACACTCACGGGTCTGATGCTGAACGCACTGTACAAATCCAGCTGTGGGCTTCAACCATGCACAGCTCCCATTCACTTCAGTTCCATGGGCTTTGGAGGTCTGAGCCTGTGGGCGACGGTGTTACAGACTCACACCTGCATGCTGCGTTCTGTGTTTGTGTGCAACGGCGCTGTTGGCTTGTCGCTCCGCTCCTAGGTGACGTGGCGTATCTGCTCTGGTTGTGGTACAGGGTGTTGCCCACACTTTGCCTTTAGCACAGCCGTTCAGCTGCGCCTCTAGCTAGAGCATGGTGGTGACATGCTTGGCATGGGTGTAGTTGTGTCCTGGAGGTTGTAGCTCCTGCGTGGTTGCATGCCTGTTGTGTTTGTGCAGTTGTGTCGCTGTGCATGGAGCTGTGGCGTGCGAGTTGCACACTTGGTGAATTTACAGAGCTTGCCCAGCAGCTTACGCAGGCCGTTGTGTTACAAAGTGTGCAGGTACGGTAGGTTTGTTGCCCAATCAGTGGGTTTTATAGACTCTGTGAGCGCGCCGTTCTGAGCACAGCGTGGAGACTACAGCCAGCTGCCGAACTCCAGTGGTAACAAACAGCCCCATTAAGACAGTGTCACAGATTTCATTAGGGCATCAGACCCAGCCAACATGGCCATAAATCAGGGAGATTGTACAAGGGCTGGTAGGGCCCTGGGTTCAAGGGCCACATGGCCAGAGACGCCGACTGCTCGGGAGGAAACGATCATGAATATTATTTAAAAAATCAGAAATGTATATGAGAAAACCTCGGAGCTTATCAGATGGAGCGCGGCTGGGTAATAGCTGTTATTTATACTGCTTGTGCAGAGTGATAAAGTGGTGCTTTATGACCTGTGGTTTATCACTTAGAATAAGAGTCATGTGACTCCATTAAAGGTTCCTTCTGTAGGAATGAAAAGGGGGTAAATTAATGTGTTTTTTTATTGTTAAATATTTGCACTCTCCTAAGCCCAGCTCTGATTCCCTGCCTAAGCCCCAGCGCGCAGGCCAGCGACGTTTCAATGTGGATGGATGTGGAGGTGGGGAGAGAGCGCCCGTTATGGGCGAGGCTCCGGCGGGCACCGGCCTCCGCCGAGGTTCCTTCTGTAGGAATGAAAAGGGGGTAAATTAATGTGTTTTTTTATTGTTAAATATTTGCACTCTCCTAAGCCCAGCTCTGATTCCCTGCCTAAGCCCCAGCGCGCAGGCCAGCGACGTTTCAATGTGGATGGATGTGGAGGTGGGGAGAGAGCGCCCGTTATGGGCGAGGCTCCGGCGGGCACCGGCCTCCGCCGAGGCCCAGGCGCACGGGGAGCCTGGCAGCGTGGTGGGCTTGGGGTGTGCACTGAGCAAGGGTGAACGGAGCCGAGGCCCGGGTAAGAAAATGGCCTGCTGAGAGTGGGGCTCTGATCCAGCCCCTCACCCCGTCCTCCCGGCTCCTCCCTGCCCAGAGCTGAGGCCAGGAGCAAAGCCCCAGGCGTGCGGGGCCAGCGGCAGCCAGGGTCGCAGCCGGGGCCGGGCGCAA